AAGCCTGATTGCATATTTATTCTAAGGTACAGAAACATAGCAACACCTAACAGCATTTTTAGATGACTTTGTGTGAATTAGCAGCGTGTCAGTAATTTCCACGCTGCTATGGGTGAAGCCTTCTCTGTGCTAAGCTACGCCGTGAGCAAGATTCTGTGGTGCTTAAGTACTTCTGGCAAGAGACAGGGATGGGTCTTCAGGTCTTTCAGATTTTCTTAAAACTTACAGTTTCCATTTTGTGCTGGCCACGGACTCTACACATTGTTGTACAGCTTTGTGCTGTTGTACTTTCTAGATTCTCTTAGGGCTCAGCTAACTTCTGTGGCATAATGAAGTTTCAAAGCAAGACACAGATGAAGATATTTCAAGATATATATTTGGATCATGCTCAAATCCAATTGCCACATTCCACAGCAAGACCAGACACTTTCAAGTGATGTTGCTGAATGGTTATGGACCCTGGTATACCCAACTCTATGTTGATCAAGTGATTTGATTTCTCCCTAAGGAAACAAAGAGTTAACACTAGAATGGCCAGAAAGAAGGCATGTGACATTCAGCCTGAGGACCTGGACAAGGGGAAGAAAACTTTAGCCACGTTATACATTGCTTGGAGTAATTTTAGTTTGTTAAGGACACACTCCCCAGCCAGCTGTGCTCAGCTCTCCCAGGCAGCAGCGGCTGGAGCTACTTCCTCAGCCTGCAACTTTTCTGGCTGTCTTGATTGTCTGCTAAACATCTGGAGACTTTGGCATGGCCAAAGGATGCTACAAGCATCAATCGACTGGGAGAGATAGGCATGGTTCCCACCAGCCTCTGCCTTATTCTTCAAATAATCATTTATGCCTGCATGTTGCAGAGCCGGCAGCAGCACACTCTGCAGTGGGATCACACGATGGGCCTCCCACTTGGAGGGGCTGGGAACCATGAAACTTGGAGCTCCCAACATGATTCGTTCCGATGTTTTGCATTATTTAGAGGTGGTGGATGCTCCATCCCTGGAGACGTTCAAGACCAGGTTGGACGAGGCCCTAAGCAACCTGATCTAGTTGGAGATATCCCTGTTCCTTGCAGGGGGGTTGGACTAGATGACCTTTGAAGGTCCCTTCCAGTCCTAACCATTCTATGATTCTATGATTTGCAGTGCAAACTGACAACTGCTGCAACGCCCAACACACCCTCTTTTTGCCTTCTGCCTGTAGAGATAGCTCAGAGCTTTCCATATCTCACCATTCCACCTAGTGCTTCCAGCTGGAAAAGCAGAGACTTTTTACCGTGTTCCCCCAGTTTGCAATGAACAGCTAGGACTCCCGAGTGTGGAATTAAAAGGGAAGGACATGTGCCCAAGAGCTGAACAAGAAAAGCAAAGTTTCCACCAAGCTGACATTTTCCCTTTTATTCTTTTGTTTCTACTGTCACAAAAACGGGGAGGATAAAACCTTAAAATGAAGCAATATGATCCTTAGTAATATAATAGTTTTATATTTTAACAGGAGCGGTAATGTAATAATAATATTACATAAATACTAATAGCATGAAGTATTTTCTGAAACATACACACATAGCCATGAAAGTGGTCTTCATCAGAAATTCTCAAAACCGGAATACATTGCTCTGATCACTTCTTCGGAGCATGAAAAATGTTACTCGCTGGCCTCTCAAGAGGGTGCTCACAGAATCTGATTGCAGAAACAGCAGGCATGAAAGGCCTGATCCTGGGCTATGACCCCCCATCCCCGTGGGAGTCTCAGGAAGCCTTGTAAAGACCCAGAGCACCGTGTCCTGGCTGCATCATCCCAACTTCCTGACACTTTCTCATCTGCTCCTTCTGCTGTGTCCAACGCTTTGCAATGCCCAGCCAGTGGTAAGAGTCTTCTCTGGTGACAGTATGTAACTCATAGTTCAAGGCTATGTCAGGAAAAACTGCCAGGGACTGGCTTTTCCAGTCTTGTAAATAATGTTATGATGCACAAAGTGAGCTTGGAAGCACGCTGCTGATGCTTGTTAGTATTTAGTTTTCCAGGAATGGAGGAAGCCCCTAGCAGGAAGAAAGAAACATGAACGTTAAAAATGAGATGCCAAAAGCTTAAGCTGTCTCTTCAACATGATCCAGAGTTTGAAAACACAGCATCTAGTCCAAGAGATCATCACTCTGATCCACCTTCAGCATGTCAGATAATCTGCCTTGGGACACAGCCTTCCAGAAAACAGGGTAGCGTCTTGCAATTTACCATGAGTGCCATGTAAACCCCTCCTAGAAAGATACACCGCTCGGAAACAGAACCATTTAATAGGTGGCAGATGGCGAAGCTGAAACTGGGGGAAGTGGAGGTAGATCCTGAGAAAAGGCAAAATTTTGGGGGTTAGAAAGGCCCTCTAGAGGTCTCTAGTCCAACGATGTGTTTGCAGCATGGCTAACGCCTAAGGTAGACCTCTGACCTCGGACATTAGGAGACTCAGGAAGGCTGAAAGCCAAGGGAAAAATGTCTCCTAAACAATGACATTGCATTAACTACTTTGTTAGATCAGGTGACCGACTGGATAATTCCACTGACTGTGTACCCTGTCAGCTAAAAGTCTTATTCAGACAGTTAGGACTAGAAAAATCAGGTCTTGTTCAGTTGACCACCTTCTCTTTCTTGTCTAGTAGGATCTCGGGCCATACAAGTAACTTCTGCAGTTGTATGGATTGCGAGAAATGAGGAATGAAGATCTCAGCCGTACGATACTGTCACGTGTAAGCTCTGATCCTGGGAGTGAATCCACCCATCCGGGCTTTGGAACTTGCTCAGAACTTCACTAAAATCAGTGGCCCTGTCCCAAGGCAAAAAGAGTGCTTGAATCATGTTTGGGCAGCTGAATGAGCTTTTGGGATCAAATAGCTGCCCTAAGCTGCGAGCTCAGGAACTTGAAGGTGATCCTTGTGAAGGGTTGAAATAATTTGCCCTTTCCTTAGTTAAAAAAACCTGGAAGTATTGCTAAATCTCTTCTCTCCTCTGGGCCACAAAGGCACAATGTAGCAGCATAGTCCTTGGCAACCTCTTGCCCGCTTGGCCCTTTGTTCATGCAGCATCAAGCCCATGCTCATCTTTCCTACTAGCATTTCTGCTAACACCATTGCCAAGATCCTCCAACCCTCCTTTTCCTAGGATTTTGGACTACTTTTGGCTCGTGCCTTTTACTTCAAGTGCCTACTGACCAAAAGGATGCGATGGAGCTCTATCTGATTCAGAAAGATGCATGAAGTGAAGCTCCAGGGCCAATAGTCATCTTCTCCGTGTTGACGTGCAGCAAATCTTTTCCACCAGTAGTTGTAATCTGAAAAAAGAGACCCAGTCACTCTGGATGAAAGGCTGTTGTGGTTTAGCCCACCTGGCAACTAAACCCCACACAGCTCGCTCGCTCGCCCATTCCACCCCTGGAGAATTGGGAAGAGAATTAAAGGGGAAAAGGGAAGGAGACTCCTGGGTTGAGATAAGAACAATTTAATAACAATAACAGTAACGATAACAATAATTAAAAGTAATAATGATAATAATATATTACTATATATATATAATGATAATAATAATATACACAAACAAGGGATGGACAGTGTAATTGCTCACCACCTGATGACCAACGCCTGTCCCATCCCAGCAAATGATCCCAAAACAGGTAAGTCCCGACAGCACAATCTCAGATGAGCGAGAGACCCAAAAAGAGAATGAGAGAGAGAGCACTCCGAGAGACCAAGAGAACCCTCAGAAGAGAGTTCCTGGAAGAGCAAGAGCACTTCGTCCTGGTCAACATGCTATGTTGGACCTTGTTCTCACCAACAAGGAGGGACTGGTGCAGAACACGAAGCTCAAGGGCAGCCTTGGCAGCAGTGACTATGAAATGGTGGAGTTCAATATCCTTAGGGTGGCAAAGAGTGCACTCAACAAGCTCACTACCCTGAACTTCAGGAGAGCAGACTTTGACCTCTTCAGGGATCTGCTAAGTAGAGTACCATGGGATAAAGCCCTAGAGGGAAGAGAGGCCCAAGAAAGCTGGCTAATATTCAGGGATCATCTCCACCAAGCTCAGGAGTGGTGCATCTCAACAAAGAGGAAGTCAGGTAGGAACACCAGGAGGCCTGCATGGATGAACAAGATGCTCCTGAACCAACTCAAACACAAAAAGGAGGTCTACAGAGGGTGGAAGCAAAGACAGGTAGCCTGGGAAGAATACAGAGAAATTGTCCGAGCAATCCAGCTTGTTGTGGTCCTGCACACTGGCTAAAACGTGGCGAGCTGAAAGGTCCTTGATGTCTCAGTGCCAACCGTAAACATCAGTGCACTGTCAACATTCTTCTCACAACAAATCTAGATGAAATCCAAAACACAGAGCTCTTCTAGCTCTTTCTAAAAAGAAAAACTAACTATATCCCAATCAAAACCAGGACATATGCCCAATTTTTTCTTCATCAATATGTCAGTGAGTCACTTCTTTCTCGGTGAGACAAAGGTAAAGGGCAGGAGAAGGATATTCTTCTGAGAGTATTCATGCAAGGGACCAACAATGACTTGCAACTACACGAATAAGTTAGTGGAAAAGGGAACCAAAACTCCACAAATAGCAATACGTCTGAAAAGGGGAATTGCCAGACAGAGAGATCACTGCAGTGGCCTGGGCAACCTTCATCACAGGCAGCACATGAAGGGTTAAAGCCAGAGCACATTGACCAAAGGAGAAGCAATGGGTGGGTGGCAGGTGGCTTCTTTGGGAAGGGCTGAAAAGGGAAACGGCACACGCAACCGGGGTGTTCACGCACACCTTTTGGCAGCCTTGTGTTTGCTCACAGGAGCTTCGGGTAAGGCCATCAACTTGTTGCTTCAACCATGAATCTGTGACTTACCTCCATGATCATAGCAGTTTCGTACTGATCTTAGTGTTGATAGGATGGCCAGAGCTTCTGCCAATGCTCTGGTGGTATAATCCCAGAGGTGGGTTCCTTTAAGTTTACATTTGACCTGGAAAGTTTTGTAGCTGCACACTCCAGTAGCAAGCAGACGGGCAGGTGTTTGAGATTCGTCTCTTCAAGTGTACATTCCTTTCTGTGGGCTACTTACCGGGACTATTTTTACAGCCAAACATCAACAGGCAAGCAAGATATACGTACAAGAAGACACACAGGCAAGACACAATTATCCTTTGTGATGCATCACCTGAAAGTCTCCCTTAGATATGTCTCCTTCTCTTCTCCAGCTATCAAGAGAAACCAACTACTTGCTGCAGCTGGCGTATGTATGCTAGGAGGGGCAGGTTCTACCTCACACTCAGGGTTTTTCACTGTATAAAAAGGAGGCATGGATGGCCAGAGAAAGACATAACTCTCCTTGCTCAGATTTGGCAAGAGGAAATGACCATGCTGGCCCTGCTGCTGTAGTGGATTGAGGAAGAAATGAGGCAGCAGAGAGGCATTTTTGCACTCAGTAGTCCTCCTCAATTACTCCATTACAAAGCACAACTGCTGAGAGTGCACATAATCCCAGAACTTTCAATCTACACCTAGACAAAGCTAAAGAGTTGTGGGGTTACCTGCAAGATTCATGATACGTATGATGACTCCATTCATTGCCAGGTTCCTGAGTCCTTGCCTGTTACGGGTCTCCAGGTGCTTGAACAGCTTGGCTGCGTATATTTCCAAGGTCACATTGGGATGCACCCTTAGGAACTCCAGAATTCTTTCGGAGCATTTCCCACAGGGCGTAGTAGACAGGACCCAGGTGATGGAGCAAGAAACAGACGGCATGGCCTTGAAGCAGTTTTCCAAGAAGTTGACTTCAGCATGTTGGGTAGAATTGTTTGAACACCAGTTCCTCCAGATGGTACCTCTGCTCCACCTGATTTCATACAGCAGGTACACCACCCTTGGATGTTGGCCAGGCAAATAATTTCTTTTGAAGTCATTTGACTGTATCTTCCACCTGTGACAAAAGTACCAGCAATACTGTGGTCCCAATACGTCAATGATGTTCGGGCCATTGTTCACTGCCTGCTCCCAGCATCAGCCAAGCCTCATATCTCTCAGCTTTTCCCATCATAAATGAGCAGCTTGAAGAACATTGCAGTCTAATGACCTAGATCTGGAATTTGATGAAAGCTCCAGAATCATTCCCCTAGAGTGGCCCTGGTGAAACACCCACAGAACCTCCTTGAGAAGCGTTGGGAGCGTAAGCAAGACCGTCACCACTCTGAGATCAGCACTGGTCAAAGCAGTGAGTCAACTGGAGAGGAAGATCAGGGAAAGGGATGGCGAGAGAAAAAGAAGGCACAAGGCTTCTTAGCTTTGCCTGTCTCTGGAAATTGCCATGGAGCCCAGGCAGCACTCGGTGATAGAACCATATCTCTTACCCTCGGTTGTTCCCTCTGGGTGGAGGACCTAGATAGAAAAGATTTGTGAGTCATTGGGTAGAGTAGGTCAGAAAACGAATTTCCTCCACACCTCCTGTCCTGGCCCCTTTCAGTCTATACACTCCCTGCCAAATCTGTTCTATCTCGAAGGGCTTTATAAGTAATCCCCACACAGCAGGGTAGCCGCTCTGGGATGCAGGAGAGGTGGATTTCCACCTGGGAGCTAAACTTGATGGTTGTTTAGACTGTGCTCAGTTTACACGGCACCAACCCTTGCTCACTTGAACACATTTGGGTTGACTGTGATCTCACTCAAGTTTAACTTCACCGATTTCAGCAGCACTGCATCTGTTTTTCCCTGAATCAAATCTCTTCTCTTCTCGTATCTTCCAAACCACTTCTACTAGGCAAAACTTGAGCTATTTTCATGTTGGTACTCATAATGTAAACCTAGAAACCTGTGTAAAACGTTTTCACAGCCAACGGTTCTTCCTTTTCTTACTGTTTCAAAAGCTGAAAAAAATATCAACGACAAGGAAAAATACCAGTGCAGAAAGGAGGGTGATTTCTGGCTAGCAAATACCTATGGGGTGGCACCGTAGACCTGTCTGATTATATACATTTTGTCTCTTGTGATGGCAAAGAAGTTCAACCTTATGACTTATTCATCCCTTCCCAGCTGAGGGTCTAGATGAAAACAGTTGCAGGTGATCAAGACCAGTTATTTCTTTTGCAAAAGTCCATCCATAGCAAATTTAAGGATCTAGGAACTCTCATTTTATTGAATAAAATAATTAATATATTTAGAATTAAGATACTAAAGTCACTTTTCCATAGCTCTTAGCTCTTTAAGATGAGGAATTATGAAACATACACATTGAAATGTGAAATAGTCTTCCACATCAACAGAGACCTGATCAGCTCCTTGCACCGATTCTTTAAGAGGCATTTTCTAGTTGTTTATTGTATTGAAAAAAAAATAGGTGAAAATATAAGCCAACTAATTTGCTCGGTTCTTAATGGCCTTTGAGATTTCTTCCCACATTAAGAGATCTTTTGGAATTCGAATTCTTCCTGCCTAATGCCGCATCGGGGTTAAAAAAAATTATATGAAGATTTTGAAGCTGGACCTAAGACTCAAGATGTATTCAAAGAGACAACACACACAGATCCACAAATGTCTCCTAGGTATCTTCATGTGCCAACCCACAGGTTTGTCTGTACTCATCAGTTCCTTAGATACTACTACAGTACGTATCTACACCGAATACGGAGAAACAGACCTGCTTTTCACGTCCATGTACTTACCTCTATCGGTGACAGCAGCCATGGATGCTTCTGGATTTGTCTGTCACCTCTCGGGTGATGGAGGTCTTTTTATTAGCCCTACATTGGTTTCAGTTTCTTTTCCTGAAGACTGAACTTTGGACATTAGTAATGCTGCTCGGCTGGATATTTCCTTACGGTCGCTTGCTCTTATGCAAGTAAAGTACCTCGCTGGGTGAAATGGAAAGCAAATTTCTGGCAGCAAAACACTGCAAAAAAGGGCGAGTCTCATTCAGAAGGGAATCTGGGGTGTAGACAAGATTACCTGCCAGAAGCTGGAATTAACAGGTGAGCCATTTTTTTTTCCAGTGCCGAACAGAATTATGTCACTTTATTACCACTAGCTCCAGAATAGGAAAGCAACTCTTCTCCAGTCACCCCAATGGTGACTGCAGAAAGAGCAGCTACACCAACGGCATCAAGTCACATAGCTGTGGCATGGCAGATAACTTTTCTGGCCCCCAGATGTCATCAGAAAGTTGAGCAGAACCTGGTGGGGAGAGGGAAACAGAAAACGTCATCTGCAAAAGCTTGTGATTTTATGGATCTCCAGCAGGTGGTGACGGTTACTGCCGTTTTCCTTCATGGGACCATTCGGTGGAGTTCCAAGGACCGCTCGTACACCCTTGAACCTGTGTCCTCACGTAAGCAAGGAAGACCCTCCATGTATGTGAGGCCACATCCACAGCTGTGGTCAGTAACTGGGCAGACACTCTCAGGCTAACTCTGTGTTCCTGCCAGCCTAACGTGAGGAGAGGAGTCCCTTCCAGATCTGGTAATTGGTTCAATTCTAACAAAATCAGAAAGAAAAGGTTACCACACAAGTGGATTTTCATGCTTCTAGAAGAGCTC